TATCGCGACAACAAAAGGAACTCATATCGTGGTATGAAAGTGATAATCATTTAGTGAATATAACCACGAAAGTCTATTTAAAAAAATCGCTTTGAGATCAGGCCATTTTTGAGTTACGATGCCACTAACAGACAAAATACACAAATATTGTAACTCCCTCTTTCTCACGCGTCGGTTAAAAGTATATAAAATTAACAACAGTAATTAAGTACGCAAAGTAAATGGCAAACAAAAACAAAAAGGTAGACGTTACGCACAAGAAGTTTATTCAATTGTTTGTTTTTTAATTGCATAATCATCAGTCATAATCTTGGCTACTTCTTCTGTGCCCGTTTCAGCGAAAAACTTATTTCTTCAATATAAGGTTCTACTTTACTGTTTACAAAGACAGGAAGAATCATCGAAGATTTTGAAACTTTCGTGGTTATTCCTGTATTAAAAAAAGATCCATTTTGCTTACAGACGGTACTTTCTTTAATAATTAGGCGTTAGTCAAAACCGTTGTTATAAAGGTTACATTACAAGTGACTCACTACCTACGGAGAGCCACGGACATAGTACAATAACTTATGTAGTATAACTTCAAAAGTAAAAACGTGCTATACTAACATGGTTGGTATGTAGAATGCCCACTTGCACCATTATAAGTACGCACACATTCGCTTGTCGCGGTGCACTCGCGTTACACGGCGAAGACGTCGAATGCTAGAGAGCTAGATTGAATATCGAATTGAAGCGTTTGCTAGATATTAAAAAATATACCAAATAGTAGACATAATAGTTTGAACAAGGGTGACGCAAATTCAGAATAATTCAGCATTTCATATCTATTTCATAATCATACTCCCATAAGCGTGATAATCTGCGATACTACGACTATAAAATAGTATAAAATATCATGTCAATATAAAAAATAAGAATGAAGGTAAGTACTGTATTTTTTTATAATAATAATTAGCCCCGCACTAGGAAAAGTGTGTCGCGGGTGCCATGGACACACACATAGACAACCACAAATTACACCCAAACTCACGAGAGAAATAAACGTAGGGCATACAAATATTTCTCCCGGCCCGGGAATTGAACCTGAGACCTCTGCGTGGCATGGTATGGCATGGTAACCGTTTGACCACAGGAGCAGTAATTATTATATTTAATAAAGGTTATTTCAAGAAGACTATAACGAACACCTTAATTTTTTTTTTAATTATATTTACAACCTGTAGGTACAACAAAAATAATAATGTGACAACGCTACGTTCCGAGCGAAGTGTAGGCATTGATGCGCTGAACAGGTGTTAGTTGCTCTACTTGTCTTATCTACTATGAATCAGATAAGAAATTTACTGAGATGACATCTCGTAGCGTGTCTGTAGTATAACTGATTACAGATTTCTTACCACGGTAAGCCAATTTAATTTTCGTCCTATATTACGTACGAAATAAGATACATGCCCTGTCAAGTGGTCAAGGGCTGATTGAAATTGCGGACATAACGTAACTGCCCCAAACTATCGGTGAAATAATAATATTGCGTTGGCTAAAAAAATGAGCTAAAAGAAAAACATTAAAAAAAAGATTTCAAAATCAATTACGTATTGGGCATGTTGATCTTATAATCTTTTGCCATCTTCCGGTAATTTCAGAATTTCCCTTTCGTAAAAAATCCTGTATTTACTTGTAAAGTACGGCTGTAAGTATCGTTGGATGGTCGTTTCGATATCAAAGTCGTGTCCATTCAAAGAATTGTACAACGATTCTCCAAAGCAACAATAGCCACGTGTCCAGTTTTATTAAAAAAAGAAGCAATAATCCGCTTAGAGGTACTTTGCATGCGCGCCAGTTTGGTTGGTTTCGGCTCATCTCGATAGACCCATACGCTCGATTGCTGCTTTGTTTTGGGATCGTAACTGTAATCCATGTTTCGTCACCTATTACCATGTCCCACACCAAATTTGACGCCCCTTCGTTGAATCTGGTAAGCATGGCATTGCACCTAGTGACGCGACCCGTTTTTTGAGCCTCAGTAAAAATTATGTGGGATCCTCGGAGAGCACAGCTTTTTCACGCCCCAGTTTTTGTATAGTATTGATTCTATTTGACTCATGCCTATGCTTAACTTGTACGTACTTATTATGAGTATTAAGACAATTTATCTAACAAACTACTGAACACTCTGCAGTAGGGACGTAAAACGTTTTTTTAGTTGTGGAATTAAGGATGCCCGAATCTCGTGGTATGTTACATGCCTGTCCGTTTTGATCATACGGTGCGCAGCATCGATGTTTTAGTTGTTCACAGCTGAGGACGGGCGACCGTAACGAAATTCGTCATTAAGATTCACACGACCGCGTTTTGCAAACCAGCTATAAAATATAAAGTCTTGCATGGTGCTTCATCGCCAAAAACAGTTTGAAGCCGAGCGAAGCTCCGCTGAGCTGTTAAGTTACATTTAAAGTCGAAGAAAATCATACCATGAAAATTATCACGAGTTAAATCCATGGTGACGTAGACAACCAATTTCTAAAATGACGCCGCAATGTAAAAACAAGTGACAGTCGGATGAAACAAACTGTTTTCTACAGCCAAAGAGTTCCATTTCCAAATGTTGTAATTACTTTATAAATATTATCGAGTTCTTAGGTTTTCGCGATTGTTACACATAGGAAATGAAACTATTTTTCCGGATTTAAATCGCGTAGATTTGTTTTTTCAAACAAAGCGACGTTTCCATGTCATGTCCATATCAACCGTGACCATGGGACCTGTAAAGGGCCCGAAACGTCGGTTTGTTTGAAAAAACAAACATACGCGATTTAAATCCGGATAAATAGTTTCACTTCCTATTTATAAATATTGTTTATGTAAGTGGCCAGTTCCGGAAACCTATAGTGCGCCCTATGTACATGCAAAAAAAAACATAGAACTAAATGTACAATCTTTTATAGACCAACACTACATGCACAATAAATTTGCAGAGCAAAAAGAAACTTACAGAAAGAAAAATGTAAACATTTATTTAACTATATAAATCGCTTACAAAAAGAGAAACAAATAGTGCTAATTAATATCTTAAGACTAGGTGAAAGCATAAAAAAGAAGTTAGGTGACAGAGTTTTAGGAAGGTGATGACATTTCGCACCTAAAACATTCCTGAAAAGGCTTACAAAGAGGCTTTATTGAAAGTCTAGGCAGTTTGCGAGGAACATTAAATGACATGAGGTTTAGAACTGGACTGCATTTAATTGATTATTTAACATTTTATATAAAAACAACATATCTAAAATTTCGCGTCGCTTCTCCAACGACACCATTTGGAACTTTGTGAGTCTTGATTTATATGAACGAAGTTTTTTAGCTTGTCCAGTGTAGAACGCCACATTATTCACAAACCTCTTCTTTATCCTCTCCAATCTCAATGAATGAGTGATAATCGTTTAGGGTAAACATCAATTTAAAATGTTAGTATTACCAAATTAGATCTTTTAATTTCATGGACCCTGTTCGCGGGTCCATTCGTAAAATCAGTTCTGACACCTGCCGGACAGCACAATCACGTTCTTAGGTAATAACCGATCAAAGTGCAACGGTAACAGGTTTATGAATCCCCAATGGCTCGTACTTCCACCATCACTTTGATTTACTCTGATTTATTATGTACCGTCAGAAGGTAAAGAATTAAGATATATTTAGATATATTTGACTGCCTCTGTGGCCGAACGGTTACCACGCTGATCTGCCACGCAGAGGTTCCGGGATCGATACTCGGACTGGGGGACTATAATCTTATTAATATTATTCTTATCCATATACATATACTCAACTGTACGGTTCGATATAATAGGCAAATTTCATATCAATCTGGTGGGACAAATTTTCGTCTCACCGGGTCGAAGAAAATGTGTATTCGAACTTTCTATTCATAATTATAACAAAACTAGTGAAGTTATTTAACAAAAAACTCATATATACTATTACGAAAACACCAAAATGAAAATATTAAATATTGAGCTTCATATTCGAAATGAAAATGCTGGCAGCATACTACAAAAGTGTTGGATTTAAAATGAATATCCGAGTGAATAGTTTCGTCGCGTTTCAATCTTTCAGTCGCTTCTCTTCTTTACAATATTCCGCTTCGATTTGTTAGACCACAAAGCCTGGACTTTTGACTTTGACACCAGCGCATTCCGAAAATCGATTATCATCAAATGATTATTCAAAATACAAGCATTTGGATACAAATCATATGTGTTACATATATTACTACAATAGCAATACTTGTGTTACCTAATAAAATTAATTGTTATTTATAGTTTTAATTAAGCATTCTGTATTTTTCATCTATCATATTCATTTATATTTAGCTAGGAATAATTTCAATTATACAATTTTGTAAAATCAGTTTTGGTTTTTTTGTCAGTCCTTCGGCTTTCGTAATTTACGTCACTTGTAACTTTAAATTTGATGGTCTAAGATAACAAATTTTAAAATAAGTGTTCATTTGCAAATTAAAGAAAAATGTGTGTTATTCGATTTTAAAATCAGGACTTAATTGAGTTCCTTCAAGACCATGGACGTTGCAACACGTCCTAAACTTCGAGATTTATAAATATGTGTTTATATACACATATCAAATAATGTGTGAAAATCATAATGTCAAAATGAGTGTTCCAAACTAAAATTTTAATAAACAATTAACATTTAATCTAATTCTAGGATCACATTATACTAAATTGTCGTCAAGTTTGCACGCCGGTGCTTGCTTTTATTTAAAATTTACTAATTATTCGACTCATCTGAAGAACAGAGTCCGTGGTGACTATATGTATAGCGAAAAGAGAATAGGTACATTACGAGAATAATTTCGTTATTCGAACTAAGCCCCATGTAAAGGTGTTTTGGGAATTTATGTACCTTATTTCGTTTCGGAAATATAAAATCAAACAACAGTTGATCTAACGTCCACAGCGAAGAAGAACGAACGAAATGTACTATGTCCTGAGAACAAGTAGTCTTGCACATTGTTCTACGGATGCGTCGATTTACCAACTTAAACAAATTTCATCGGGATGGTTCCACCATTCTTTAAAGTTCGTGTAAATCGATTTCTCTGTAAACTTATTACTGTTTAATAATCTGCAAAGTTCACAATATTCATCTGTGTCCACACTCTCAGACGTTTTGTAATAAGAGTAATGTCGTTTCCACCAAAAATATTGTGCATAGCTGTCTTTCCTGACTCTAATTAGACGGTTCATTATGCCGGCCAGCTTTGGAACTGACATCTTACTTGCATCTAGATAACTGTCTGGAGGCAAAATCCTGCGAGTGAGGAGATACATATTATACTATATATTCAGATGACTAGATTCATTATTAATAAAATTCTAAGTATATATATGGATTTAGATGAAAATAGAGAAAATAATGGAAATAAGGGATGCTTATTTACCTACAATTCGGTTGCTTTTTGTGACGGGACGAACAAGTCGCGCACCTGGTGATAAAGAGAGATTTATATCACAAAGATCTGACGGGCACCACTACTGCGCCCGTCACCTTGAAACATAAGTTGACAAGTCCCATGTGCCTGTAATTTTACCAGCACCCTTACCCTTCAAAATTGAAACGCAGCTATGGTTCCATTATTGCTTGGCAACAAAAATAGGTACGGGTTAATTGTTAACTTGGAATGAGCTCTTATATCAAAAAAAATCTCACGACACCGGGATTGACATTATTAAGTATAAAATTGAAGGCAAATAAACGTTTAAAATGTTATTTGTAATTTTATTTGGGGTATTATATAGGGTATTGTATATTCTCATGTGGGGTAAAGCGGCAGATATTCAAACCATATTTGTATTGCAAATACGAACGATTCGTTCTGTGTACCGTCTAGGCATATATTATGATTATCGTTTCCTAAGTTTAAAAACTACATTAAAAATATTTTGATTGAAAAGTCATATTACAAAATTGATGACTACGTGTTAGATAAAGATGTATGGAAAGACGACACGGCTTCAGTATCCACATATATAAAGTGTATTCCATAGCATTTAAGTTTATTAGAAAAGAGCAATCCCTAGAGTATCTTGCTCGTTCTTCTCAGGGAAATCAGCGTAGTGAACGAGAAGTAGCTTAAATGTGACGTCTTCAAGTGTAAATTTATTTTTCCTATGGAACAAATTATCTTTGACTTTGACCTATGTAACATTTAATCTAGTTTTTACTTTGAGGATGGCAAAAAGTATTTTATCATCTAAGGTAAGTGAACAATGTTTCAGTTCAAATTTGACACTGCTAACTATTCACAGTACTGAAATAAAGTTGTTGGTTCCTGGTCATCATCAGATCTTTTAGATTTAGTGAGCCAAAATTCTCCACTTCATGTCGACATCCCCAGATTTAAAAGAAGAAAAAAATTTAGGGAACCGCTTCCATGTCTCAACAGCAATTCACACCAAAAATTTAATTTTAGGTATAGAAGACTCCGAATATCCCGATCATTAAGTCATGAGTGACTACAATAATTTTATCCCTATAATAAACTTTTACCACCAAATTTTGCCTCTTAGTTTTGTTTATTTATTTGTCTCTAGTTGTTGATATTGTAGGTGTGTAGAATTTCCACTTACTCAATAAAATTATAAGAATGGTAACACACCTCATCTATCAGCGAGGCATGGAGCGTGAGAGGCGTGAAGCTGTCAGACAGCGTGCGGGACAATATACTGCGCTCCAAACACAAATGGTTAACATTGGTCAAAAAGTTTCAAATGGAACTGGCCCAATCACTTCCGCCGCATGTCAAGCGAGCTGTGACCAAATATTACCACGGAGTCGATCCCACCAAACGCAAGACGGAGACGTGATAGATTCAGAAGGATATGGCGTGACATGTTAGATATATAAATAAGATCTTGGCCTGTAGCGGCGTTAAGTCTCGTTGACTGGTGAAAGTTGAAGCTGTTCTTTGCCATACAGTGGGATAGTAACGGCTGAAAAATAGAAACAAAAGAAAAATGACAACATACCTCGTGTAATTAGCACCCCCGTACACAATAGGAACGGCATTATAGCGCAAGGCATGCAACAGTTCCGTAGTTACATAGTCCTTACACAGAGAATCTTCAAAAGCTAAATAAAAGTAATAATCTCTTTCTATTGTCTTATCACAAGATGTTTCGGATTCGCAGCGAAATTCTCCGCACTTCCCATAAATATCGAGCGTCAATAAGTGTCTTTTTAATTCTTCTCTAAGTGATAGAGCAATTTTTTCTCGATAACTATAAGTATTGCAATCAGATACAATCCACGCTGCCGCCTTGGTTTTATTTTCGATGATATCACTAAGATCGCGAGGTAAAGTGTACTTGCGTTGTGTTGGTATCCAGTGTACTTCGTTTTTAGGAGCAACAATAGTTTCGTTTAAATCTCGTACAACCAAGCCGCTTTTAATCTCTGAATCTAACCTATACGTCCACGTCCAATTGAAATAGCTGTCAAATTTTTCAGTACAAACTGTATTCTCCTGCGCTGATCCCATACTAACAAAAACATATTTCTGATATGGCAACCGTTGCTCAGGAAGTAGATTGTTTGTTAATCTTACTACCTCAGCTCCAAAAAGAATGGCGTCAAATTCAGTTTCTGCTTTGAAATAATTAACATCGTCAGTAACAAAACAGTTGTAGTAGGGACAAAATTTGTCAGCAAAAGCGATTTCTCCATTACCCATTTTATTGAATGGTTTGTTCATGCTAGAAGTCCACACTAAAATATAACGTAAATTTTTGTCTTTTACCTTACTTATTTTAGTGCCATCGAATTGCTTCCAAGGTAAATACCGTTTATCTTTCAATTTCTTGATTGCATTGTCATAGTAATCCTGAAGTCGATAATCGCTATGTATTTTTCTATCAGGCGGCCAAAATTTATAAGTCACAAACATTAATACAACTGTAATCAAGTAAAAGGTATTCAAATGTAAGTAATTACTTTTGTGACAAATATCCATTTTCATTGTAAGTCTTGTTTGTGGTTAGAAATTGAGTATGTGATAAAAAAAAATTAAAATCGACTAATAATAGTTATCATCAAACGAACAAGCGGAAAATTAAAATTATACGTCGAAATAAAATTTTAACAATGGTGTTAATTATCGGGACATTCTACACTCATGGACATGTTTAAAGGAGCCCTAAAAAGGTTGAATTGTGATGGCAGTGATCATAATGAACCGTTGGTAACACAACACTAGAACGTTTAATGGTTCTTTTTGTGTTGGAAAGGGGGTACTTCCATAGTGGTCCATTTCATTTTGACGAAAATCATCCACTTCTAAGAGTGGCTGTTCACGCAAGAAGATTCATTTTTATAAATAGGGCCTAAATTTTACTTAAGGAGCAATTATTTTAATGGTTGATTTTGCTATTTCTCCAATTCAAGGCGTTTTTCTCTCAACATACTTCGAGTAGTGAGAACCGATTTTTATTATCTCCAGTGTCAAGTCCTGTATAGTGGCGAATTTAAGGATATTCCAATAAAACTTAACAAATAGACGTAATTCCACGTACTTTTGAAGTCGGTTTTTTTAGTGCTCTGTACTGAGATTATTTATGATTTCTAGCAACAAGGTCACCTGTTGTATCAGTTTTTTGTTATTTGTGTTTTTCTTCGAGATATTTATTTTATTTGATAATTATCACGGTCCATTAATTCGTTAATTATCCGATATATATCCGATAATTATCTGATTAAGCTTTGTTCCTTTAATTTTTGACTAAAAATGAAAAACAGGGAAAACGATTTGGTTTATGGCTTTTTTTCAGATTGACATTCAATACGTTTGAATACGTTTCGGATACGAACACATGACACATTGCGTGGACATGGAACTTACAAATTATAATAATAAATAGATGTGCTGTTTGATTTACATGTTGTTGGTGTCCTAGGAGACAACTAATGAATAAATTCCAACAGCTTCTGCATCACCTGATCTGGAACTAGGGAATTCCCTGTATTATGAGAATTAAAGCAATGGAATTCAATCCGGGGCACTACCCGTAATACCCAGACCAGAACCATTTTCAAAAAGTTTATTTCCCAAATTGGTCTTGTCGGGAATCGAATCCGGGACCTCCTTACCCTGTGCCCACAGTGCAAACCGTCCAGCGAAGTCATCACTAGACGACACATACTGCCCTTCTTGCCATAACTAACGCATTTTCATTTTGGTAATTGTCGAGATTTATTTATTTGTTCATTCATTACATTGTCACACTTATACATAGGGCGCACTAAAAGTTTCCGGAACTGGCCACTTACATAAACAATATTTAAAAAATAATTACAACATTTGAAAATGGAACTCTTTGGCTGTAGAATACTGTTTGTTTCATCTGACTGTCACTTGTTTTTACATTGCGGCGTCATTTTAGGAATTGGTTGTTTACATCACCATGGATTTAACTCGTGAAAATTTTCGTAGTATGATTTTCTACGACTTTAAGTGTAATTCAACAGCTCAGTGGAGCTTCCCTCGGCTTCAAACTGCTTTTGGCGATGAAGCACCATACTAGACGACTATTTATAACTGGTTTGCAGAATTCAAACGCGGTCGTGTGAAACTCAGTGACGAATTTCGTGATGGTCGCCCGTCCACTGCTGTGAACAACAAAAACATCGATGATGTGCGCCGTATGAGCAAAACATACAGGCACATGCTAGACATACCAAGAGATTCGGGCATCTTTAGGCATAGGCATGAGTCAAATACAATCAATACTATACAAAACTTTGGGCGTGAAAAAGCTGTGCTCTCCGTGAATCCCACACAAATTGACTGAGGCTCAAAAAGTCAAATTCAAATTTGGTGTGGGACATAGTAACAAGTGACGAAACATGGATTATAGTTACGATCCCAAAACAAAGCAGCAATCGACCATATGGGTCTTTCGAGATGGGCCGAAACCAACCAAAGTGGCGCGCGTGCAAAGTGCATCTAAGCGGATGATTGCTTCGTTTTTTAATAAAACTGGACACGTGGCTACTGTTGCTTTGGAGAATCGTTGTACCGTGAATAGTGATTGGTACACGACCATTTGTTTGCCGGAAGTAATTGACAAACTCCGTAAAAATAATCGTAAACGCCGTATCATCTTGCACCACGATAATACTAATTCTCACACGGCCAGACAGACAAATGATTTTTTTAAGGTGAACAACGTTGACCTTATGAGCCATCCCGCGTACCGTCCCAATCTGGCACCTTGTGACTTTTATTTATTTCCAAAAATTAAGAACTAGATACGTGGTCAACGATTTTCATCACCTGAAGAGGATGTCGAAGAGTATGAAAAATATGTTTCAGCGATTGTCACGGAGGGATGGCATAAATATTTTCAAAATTAGTTCATTCGTAAGAAACAATAAATTCATTTCTGACCATTTATGGTATTTTGCTTGTTCTTATTCATTCCGGAACTTATAGCGCGCCCCACCTATTATTTTAGGTATATTGGCTTGTAAATGTACACGTGACACCCTGTAATGGACACAGCGAAGTGATGAGGGCAGTCATACTCATTATAAAAGTAATAAAATAAATGCGATCATATTAAATAAATAATTACAATTATACGTTAGTACATTAGATAAATTAAGAAGTAATTTAAATTAATTAGCTATTATAATAGGTATACGACGCGAGGGAGAGTGAAGGAAGACGCTTGAATCTCCATGTACACAACGGCGTTTGTTGACGTAATTGTATGATCGACAAGACTCTCATCCTCGATATTAGCTCACTGTCCCACCAGGTGGAAGCGGCAGCCGACGATCGATGATGAGGACTGACGATTCTATGAGCTTTCATCCAAGTATCCCACCAGGTGGAAGGAATCCCGAAGGAGGCAGCAGCGTTACAAAATATGCTCTACGGCGATACAGCTACGACTGTCCCACAAGTGGAAACAGTGATGCAGCTACGAAATTGTCCCACGAGTGGAAGCAGTGACGTAGAAACAAGCCCCAGGAGAGTCCCACACGTGGTAGCTTCCCCAGAAGCAAGTCAGGTGGCACTGAGGCCCTAAAATATTCTACAGTGCAAAGTGCTATGTTCAATAACAATACTTGTTGTGAACACTTTAATAGCGCACTCTATTATGATCCCAACGTCCTCTAGCGGCAAGGCGAGGTTACTAAAATTTCTTGTACGTGGTTTTACGCTATTAAAGTACATTTTGTCATTGAAAAATTATAACCTTTGTTTATGAGGAATTCTTTTAAATGTTTAGAGAAAATTTTACATTCCTTAATCTCTTTCATGTAAATTGGTGTGTGATTGTAAATTTTAGTTACCTATAGAAATAATGGCGTCTAAAGTTTTCTTGTTTTCCTTGAATAATGGCAATTCCGCTCATTTTGTTTGACAAGAAATCGAAAATACAATAAGAAATAAAAAAAAACGCTTATGGGAGGTTGTAGATCTTGTTCGCTAAACCCGGTACATATTAACTGCTCAGGTACACTAAAAATATCGATTATGTTACTTGTTATAGTGAGGGCAACATAGCACATCTTCATTTGTTTGTATTGATTTACTAGTCGCGTATATTGTCAGTGTACTTTTGGAAATAAATCGATTTGTAATTTAGTACAAAAAACTAGGTAAACGTTCCTTCTACGCCGACATCGTAACGCATGAGTAGCATTACCGTAAAGCGAAAAACTGAACCACAATAAAAGTGAATAAGCAACTTGGTAATAAAATTTTCTTTTATGGTTAAGATAAAGAGAGCTGGAAAATACATGTCAATCCAACCGGATAGCCTAGAAAACATATAGGTGAATAAAAGAAACAGTCTGATAAAAAAAAAATTACAGAATACACTATATTTTTAGGACGAAATTATTTCTGGAGACACTGTGATATAATAATTAAATAATCTAGTAAAATCTAATTATATCGAGATCCATCATCGCACTGGTTTGTTGCCTAATTCATTTGTCCTTCACTACGATTTTCGGAACGCGCTCCCGCTCCATGTAAGACAAGCGCAAGTTGCTATAGCATCTTCTTGACAATTTTCTAGATCAAGACTCTGCATTATGTTGTCGCGGATACATAAACATAGTATTATAATATATATGTATGTACATTTATGTCGTCGGTGTTCTGTAAATAGGGCGTAAGCGACATTTTTTTTTATGGGCACATGTTTTAGGTTTATTACGTCCTGTCTAAAATTCAATTTTAAAATCAAACTTAATTAAAAACAAAATTGAATTTTAAAACAGGCGTAAATATTTTAAAACAGTCGTTAAAACCTAAAACATACTCCCCTGAATTTTTTTTAGATATATCGCTTACACCCTTTCTACAAAACACCGGCAATATTAAGTATGTTGATGTTATATTTACATTTATTTTATACCGTATGAGTTAACTATCAAGTTCAGGTTTATGGTATTTTGTAATTATTGATTGAAGTATAGACGTGTTGTCTTTTTTCTGCTTGGGTCTATGGTTGACTCGTAGAAAATGCATTATAGCATTAAATCAGCCATTTGTACTACTTGTACTTTACAGTAATGTGCAAAAAAGTTTAAGTAAATTAATACATACACCACGAAATTATAAGATACTTATGAGATGTTACTTAAAAGCTAAATTTAATTTAATATAATGTGTATATTGTTAAGTTTATGTCAATTGTGTTAAGGTGTCTACAGATTTATTAGATTTTTGACGGTTGGTATCATTAATGCAAAAATACCCTGAACAAAAATGGAACTACGTATTCTTCCCATCATTACGAGTATTATCTTGTTTGGGGCCATGTCTGGGAATCTGATAGTTAAGGAGATATAGAGGATCAAAGTGAAATTGTTTTTGGTGTTTTTTTCACGAAATCTGTTTTGAAATGTTATTACTCAACTTTCCTCCAAACAAGCATTTATAATTTTTTCTTCAATTTACAAGTAAACGAGGCGTTTGAAATTACAAACCGGCTTTTGTCTGATCACATGTGTCAATCGTCAATAAATCGAGCAAATCTGTAGGCACGTTATCGTTGAAACTAGATACGAAACGATATCTGCGGCTATTCCCGATACTGCGCGAGAATTCTCCGGAAGATCTGCAACCAGTCGGGCTAGCATCACAGGGTGTGGCTTGCGCGAGAGCAACATAAAGCGCGATCTCTCTTTGCTAGAATAGCAGTATGTCACACTTTATGTCGCTCTCGTGCAAGTTCCGCCCTGTCGTGCTAGCCCTATTTCGTTTTAGCTCGTATCTAGTTTGAACGTTACATAATTGGCATAAAGGTCATTGTACTATTTCATTATTAAAATTAACTTCCATTACATAACACGGCAATGTAAATGAAACCTTGAAAACCTGGTCAATATCTAGTTTAAATTTCTCGCACTGTATTGAAGAAAAGTGTTTGTTTTTATGTCTCCTCGTCTATCTACCTACATGAGATTATTATATTAAAATTATTTCTTATTCGATTCAGAGAAATACAAAAAATCGGTTTCATACATTGACTTACAAATAAATGGACGACGGGTCTAATACAAAAACCACGAAAAAAATGTCCCAAGTCAACCTATTCGAAATTTAAATTGTAATGTCATCGCAGTATCGCGCTGTCAGTAGAACAAATGAAGACTAAAGCGGAGTGTCGCGCTCTGTATACGATTTTAGCGCCTTACAAGTGCGGACACTTTTTAGCGCGGACCCGACGTCCATATAATTGTAAGTCAATGGTTTCATAAAATAGAAATAAAAACAAGCCAATGACAGACCACGTCAAGCCTAAAATAAACGTCTTACACGTTTGCGACTGTCACTTAAACTGCTTTGTTGTTTAATTTGCACCGCATTTTTTTGTAAACGCAAGGTTTGTAACAACTGTGATAAAGCACGTACTATGTCTCGATATAATCTGTGTTCTGCTGCCTTTGAAATGAATATAGCTTAGGCCACTAGAAAGATCACACTGCAAACTTGATAACATAAATTCGATTTTACCACAAATTTGTGATTAAGTAGATTGTTGTTTGTATCTTAAACTAAATTACTGTTTACACGTGTAGAAGTTTATTTATGCCCGCATGAGCTGTGTAACAGTAAAGTAATTTAAAAATCGTACGTAAAGTTTACCAAGATTGATTTGATAATCACTAATCCAAAAAAAATACTATTAAAAAGGCCATAGAACAAGTGTACACAGCCTTGTCCGTAGTTACTTTATTTTAAATCTTAATATTACTTAAACAATTACCAATTGTTTTTAGTAGTTATTTTTCAATAGGTGTCAAATTATACATGCCCCTTATATAAATCTTCCTTTATGTTCTTTTGTAATTTCTTTAAAAAAATTTGGAATTAAATGCATTATTCGGTAGGTACGTAAGTTGCGCGAGTCCTACTTCCATCTGGTGTATTTAATTTTTTAATTAAAAATACAATTTCATCAAAAGCTACATTAGGTCCTTAATTGAAAAATATACAAGGAATATAATTATTTCATTCTAAAATGATTTCTATGCAGTTTTTATTTTAATAAAATTTAGATTATACGCAACTAAAAAAAGCAATAATGATTATCACTATTTACAGGTTTCTTACCACGGTATGACTTCATTTTATTTTTCCGACATTTCGGAATGGTTACACACTCTATGGTCTTAAGTTGACAGTCAACCCGTGACCATAGAGCGTGTAACTGTTATAATAATTTAGTGAATAACTACGAAAGCCTTAAAATCTAAAAAAGCTTTTTCGATGCCTTACTTTCTCAAACTCGTATCTTATAAAGATTGATTACACAGGAGATGGGATAACTTTCTATTTATTTTAAATTTCTCATCAATGGTGTTAATTTGGATCGATCACTTTAAGAATAGGTAAAAGCCAGTGTTTGAATATCAAGGATGTGAAGTGATGTGAAGTCAGCCTGCAACATTTGTATATACAATCCATTTTTTGCATTGCAGTAACTTTGTGTTTTTGAGATACGAGTTAGAGAAAATAAGGCGACGTGTTGTTATATTAGTCGGAATATTTATAGGTGTATGTACCTACATGTACCTACATGACATGCTGATAGCGTTCAACGCGGCCATACAATAATTTCGATACAAAAGTCAATCAAATAACAAAAGTAGTAAAACCAGTCGTGAAGTTGTACAACAATATGATAACCGCATACAATTTTACGGATAAATCTGAAATAGCTAGATAATAACTTTTTAGGCGAAGCAGAAAACAGCTCGTTCACCGTCAATTCATATTATGATAATAACCTAGTCCAATTTACATATCGTCGGATAAATTTGAAAACCTTGTAACTCCGTCTTTGGAGCGAACTCCTTTTTTACTATTCAAGCGCAATATTGGGCAATTAAAGACTGAAATATAATTTGTAGGCCTTCTTTTAATTATAAACTAAAGGAATAATCATAGACTGTCACATAAGTATTTCTAGTAATTCTGTTTTTTGTGCCTGCTCAACGGTTCACATTAATGAAGGTTACTAGGTTTACGAACGACGCTATATGTGTACTTACTTACCTAGCCTGACGCACATAATAATATTTATTCTATAGAGTCTCTTCTAGACCATAGACCACGTCCGAAACGTTGAGGCAAAATGTAATATTTTAAACACGCTCAAGTCCCGATTTTAAAATCAAATAATATTTGTTTTCATTAACATAAATGAAACTGAATCTAAGTGTATACAATATACTATTATAACTGAATTTTAACTAGAGAGAAGAACGAATCAGTACGTTTCAGGTCTGTAACACAGGTTATGTTACATTATTAGGTTATGAATTACAGACTCTAGATTTACATGTGCACTGACCTAGCTATTACCGTTATAATACACGTGTTTGTCGACGTGTTCGGTTATCGAGTTACACAAAATCAACTAACAATGTCCAGGATAGACGTGGTAAGCATAGAAACTGCCCCTCTCGCCCTGCAAGTCGTGAGTTATTAAAAAAAGGTCACGACCGACCAAACGCCAAGCCGCCGCACTCGACGCTAACTACATATTTAAAATTTTCTTTTTTCCTCAAAAAACAACGTACAAATAGTTCAATTGCATCTTTTTTATTTATCCACGGGGCCTAGATACAGATAGACACACTCACTTGATTTTAATTGGACCCGTGAGTGATTTATAACATAGAAAATTTAATTTATTTAGACATCTTCTGAAAACGCATTATTTCTGACCGAAATTACTCGACCAATCCTCGGCCAACTATTTTACAAGATGGCGATAAAGTAAAATTTTGAATTTAAAATTTTGAACTTTGACGTTCCATGGGAAAAGTATTCAATCCTAGGATTTTGCGCGCGCAAATGTGCAGAATTGTGTAAAAAAAAAAAAAGACTGCTGCGCTTCGGTATAAAGTCAACATTCAGATTAGTACGCACAGCCAAACATAGTTAAATACAATTTAAATCAAATAATAAGTAACGATAACTAAATATCAGAAACCCCGTGTTGAAGTATGTCTCTATGCAAGCCTTCTTTGTCAATTTCAACCAAAGTAACCTTAAATGTACACGTAATAACAGTAGATATAAATACGCTAGATGCACTTCCATCCTTCACAATATAACAATATTTCCACAAAATAATAAAAATAAACATATTACGTACTGAATTATATTATACCGGACCTAAATAATATACAAATAGTTTACATTAAGTAAGAGAAATATCAAGACATGACTAAACAACGCCCATTAACAAGGACTGCTTTGACAAAAGCCAATTGAAACATTCACATTTACATTAGACTCCTAAGACTATCTCATTTTTTTAACCAGCCGGACACAAATACTCAGCAGGATTCCACCACTGTCGCAAGTTTTGATACACAGATGTTTCATTAACTTTTTTTTCATCATTAAGCAGAGCACAAATAGCACAGTAATCATCAGTCTCTACTGTATCACCTTTTTTGTGATAAGAATAGTGATTCTGCCATTTAAAGTACGTCGAGTATTCCTCGATGTTGTGCATTAAATGATTCATTTTCTCAGCAAGTTTTTGCACACCGAGCTTTCTAGCATCTAAGTAGCTTCCATCCGGCATAAATCTGTAATATTATGAAGAAGAATGGGTTTTGGACTTATCTTATTTTTAAATGAATATGTCCGTACAATTGCATACACACATACTTACCTATCCATTCCGCATGTCTTCTACTGGGGTAGGAAGACTATGGACTTACACGTTTGTTCTATAAATTTCTAGCAACATTGTACTAACAACCTTCCCATATGACTATATAAAGTTTTTAACTCATATTATTTGTTTTGTTTTTTTTTTTATTATGATATCGAATGACGAGACGAACAATTCGTGAGCGTAGTGGTCAGTGTCACATCTACCCATTACAGTGCCACTCACAGCTTTTAATCGCAAATATCTGAGGGGCACTGCTACAGCCCCCGTCACCCTAAGACATGAAGTTTGCAAGTCCCACGTGCCTGTAGTTTCACCAGCTAGCTGTTTTACCCTTCAAAAACCGGAACACAGTAATGCTTACTGCTTGGTGGCACAAATAGATTTGGTGGCAGTACTTCCCTGGACAAACTCTTTAATAATTTGCTTTCTTCGATACTTTTATTATTATATTTAGCAACAAATATTCTCATACTGTCTGTGTACGTTTGTAGGCAGCATAAACATTATGAATATTTATATATGCCTTAATTTGGTTTTAATTGGATAAATGAAAAGGTTATTATTATTGTCAGCGTCTTACCTGCTTACACATATTTTGAAAACTTAAGCTGTCATATTTTAGAGTGAACGGGGCATGATATAGTATAACCTTTAAATAACCCGCCGTATTTAAATGATCGATTTGTCATAGTGCTTCACTAGTTCTTACCATTTAGCAAAATAAATATTAAGTACAACTAATCTCTAACCTTGTGTAATTAGCTCCTCCATAAACTATTGGAATCGCGCTATACCGCAAACCGTGTAAAATCTTCTCAGTAACATAATCTTCACTGAATGAATTCTCAAACGCTAAGTAAAAAAAGTAATGCTTCTCTATAATCCTGTCACACATTTCTTCATCAGTTCGGTCACATTTTAACTTTCCACATTTTCCGTACACATCAATTTTTAAATCATATTTATCTAGTTCATTTTGCAATGCACTCACAAAAATTTCGCGACTGCTTAATGTCTCACAATTAGACACAAATATAGCAGCAACTTTAGATTTCCCTTTTAGAACCGACAGTAAGCCTTTGGAAACAGGTTTCATGTCTTCTGTTTTTATCCAGTGCATTACTTTATTAGGGCCAATTATGTCACCTTCTTCATTTCGGATAATTATGTAACCCCATCTGGAGTCGGAGTCAAGTTTGAACGTCCACGTCCAATTAAAATAACCGTCGAATATTTTATCACATAATGGATAATAATGTGATGATTCTATGCTGGCAAACGCGTACTTTTGATGAGGTGATCGCTTCTGAGGTAATTTTTCTGGTCCCATGTATACTACTTCTGGTCCAGCGAATGCAACGACATCGAACTTAGTGATGTCTCCAAGATAATGCGGGTTGGATGTAACGTAACAGTTGTAATATTTACAAGATTTTTTGATGAACTCCTGTTGGCCTCGTCCCATATAAACGAATGGCACGTTTCTCGGCGAAGTCCATAGAAGTATATATTTAATTTTCTGCTGTTCATTTTTACGATCTTCATAAAAATTGTCATCAATCCCATACGTACGTACATCGATATCGAAATGTTTTTTTATTGGGAAAATTCTCATCTTTGAGTTAACAATTTTAATGTTACTTTTAAATAAATCGCCAACCGTAATGAATGCGAAGAGCAAAACAATAGCGATGGTAAAATAAATAATATATTTGCCCAAACAGTAATATCTCATATTTTTTATTACGGGCAAATTTTTATAGTGCAATAACATGCGTGTGACTCGTAACCGCGGGCAGTTCAAGTGAAGGAGCACTCAATACCTTACATTTATGCTAACATATCAACTTTATCTTACATTGTATTGTATAGCATTCTAAAGTGACACCAACCGCAAGTTCGTCGACATTGAAATATATTAACCTATTAAAATAGTAGTTCACAAACTTGATATATTTTATGTCAATTTGCTTAAATTACCTATATTAGTAGCAAAAAATTGTGTATACAAATCCGACAGTAACTAGTAAAACTTGAACTTAGTACTCGACATGCAAGATGATTTTTTGTTGCAATGGATCGTTTTGATGCCGATATAGTCGCTATTAATGAGACATGGTTGGGGACTGGTCAGGAGGTGTGTGCGCCGCCTGGCTACCGTACCGACTACGTTGTGCACCGCGTCCGCAGCATATGCGAGGTGGACGTGGTGGGGGAGTGGGGTTTTATGTAAAGGATGATGTTCGCGTTAGTTACCTTAAAAATCCCAATGATTCAATAGAGCAAATGTGGCTGACTACTAAAAGTAATGGATACTTGTTAGTGATAGGTATAGGCCACAGTGGTTGAATGTGGATACATTCATAGACGCCATTACTGACTCAGTCTCTAGGTTTTCCCACTATGATTATTTAATCCTTTTGGGCGATTTTAATGTTAATATGCTACAACAAAGAGATTCCCTGCCTTGGATCATTAACACGCTTAAATTTATGATGCAGTTACGCAACAAAGCACTTGCAAAGAGAAAACTTTCAAACACAGGATATGCTGTATTACAGGGATCTTACATTAGTAAAAAGAGTTTATTGTGAAAAACGTGCTTATTTTAATCAGTGTACTAATTCTAATGTAAAAAAGATGATGTTAAGTTTCGGAAAAAATTTAAAAACAACATTTTAATAGATCTGAGTGAAAATGAATACCTGTCTGACTATTTCAGTGACCCCAATAAGATCAATGATCACTTTTTGAATATCCCTGGGCATGATGAAATGTCTGCTCGTTTAGAGAGAAATAAATTCAAAACTGCAACTTTTGGGACTGATTCCTTAACTCTTCAACCTATATCGGAACTGAACGTCTTGAAATACATCATGTCTGTTAAGTCTAATGCGTGCGTGACAATATTAGCCGTGACATGATTACATTAACGTTACCAACAACTTTATCGATAATCACTACTATTGTGAACTGATCCATTCTGAAAGGTAGGGTTCCTTTTCTTTTCGTGGGGAAATCCTCCTATGATACCTCTCCGACGCGGGGTAGCGGAGAGGTTATGCCAGACTCCTACAGGCTAAAACCCCACGGTGGCCTTCTCGGTTGCTCTAGTGGGAGGGATCCGGGATCGACTTAGCGCACCGGAACCCCCCAGCACCTGTGAGGAGTTGAGTCCTCCCCCTTCCCGCCTCACAACGAAACGGGCCACACCGCCCCATCGTCTTTCTCGCGGCTGCCAAACTTACTGGCGAACGGAGCCCCACTCCACTATGCACTATGCCTGGCGGAGAGAGATCTCGCCCGATCCGGGCAACCAGGATGCTCCGTGTGCTGGGTGGAATCCTGATCCCTCCGTCACAGTAGTGGCACTGTGTCGTCGACTCGCGTTTGATCCGATTCAGATACTAACGAAGCATCCGTGCCCGAGGGGGCAGCGCACCCATGCGGAGAACATACCGCTGCGTGAGCGACGGAGCTCTCCAACTCGGACGTCGCTCACTGCACAGCCTCCGATGCCCGCGACAATCTTCTCCGGTATGACGGCTTCATCGAGTCCCGTCATTCTGGCCGGGACGCGCAATATGCACTGCCAAGTCCGAGTGGGCCTACCGCAGCTTTGCTTCTAGGGCGACGGCCTTGAAAATGCTGTCTGGGCCGGGGACCTCTATTATTATGCCTCTATTAGGAAGCACTGGTAACTCCACTACCTAAAATTGACAATCCCAGCGAACTGAAAAATCTTAGGCCTATTAGTGTACTATCTTTTCTTTCCAAAATTCTGGAAAAGGCAGTATATCACCAGCTTCTATGTTATGTAGATAAGAACAATATCCTCCCTTCTCTCCAGTCGGGCTTCCGAAGGTGTCGTGACATGGTTACTGCTTAGCTGGACGTTACGGATAATATACTAGCGGCACAGGACGCTGGCCGTGGTACAATTCTTTCTCTTTTGGACTTCTCTCGAGCTTTTGACAGCATTTGTGTTCCTCTTTTGCTTTCAAAATTAGTCTACTACAGACTAGACCCACAGGAGGTGCAGTTGTTCGGTGATTATCTTAGTGACCGACACCGGTCTGTGAGACTCAAAACAAGCGAAGGCATTGGCATGCTCTCCGATATGCAACCTGTTCATTGTGAAGTTCTTCGGGGTTCCATACTAGGTCCTCTTCTATTTATTATATACAGTGCTGATTTGGTCCAAGTAATAAAACACAGTAAATTCCATATATACGCTGATTCAGTTATATATCTCTGAAGTACCTGAGAGAATATCAGATGCGTTGCAGCTGCTCAACGAAGACCTAAGCGCGATAGCTAAATGGTCGTCAGAAACGCGCTTGTACTAAACCCTAATAAGTCCAAGTTTATGGTGCTTGAACCTAAAGTTCAAATTAAGAAATTTAGTAGTTCAAACTAATAATTTCAATCGGGAGGACGGTTTCAAATTATCTGCGGCATGGAATCCGGTGTTTGCAAAAACTGAATGTTCGCGATCGACTGCAAACCAGAATACGGCTGTGATACAGAATAGGGACCGTTAGTGTTGAGTGTGGCGGTAGTTTAAAAAATGTTATGCGGGTGGATGAAGATTCCACCGCCGAGATGCAGACGTAAACACCGCATCACCAGTCAGCCCGTGACCACGGCCAGTGCAACCTTTTTTTTTTTTTTTTTTTTTTTTGTCGGGGGGGAAATCTTTATGGATACCCCTGAGCCCAGGGAGACTCAGGGGTTATGTGGGGACTCTCCCTCTCCCTCCCTCCCAGGCTGGAGGGCCTACCCCACTAAAACCCCCCCCGGGTTTCCCTCTCGCCGGTTGAGTCGGCGCCGTGGGATCA